TTCACCTTGCCCACCTCGGCTACCTGCTTGGCCCATTCTACTGCTTGTTGGGGCCCCTCTCCTCGGGATGTTGTTCTTAGTGTGTGTGTGTGTGTGTGCTTGCATGTGTTTCCTTCAGGGAGTTTTGGAAGCTGCAGTCTAGCTTTGAGTATACAGAGGTGAATGTTGACACTGACCTACTTCTCACTCTACGATAGTGAAGCCTTTTTCCATCTCTGAACTGCCTGTCCTCTCTACCCTCTCCTCTATTCTGGACTGGTTTGAGAACTGGAGCTATCCTTTCTATCTTCGTATTTCTCACATAACCCATCTGACATGCGTACCATATATGTGAGGTGTAGTATAATACCAAATGAGGGCATGCGCAGTATCTCTATGAGCAATCCAGGGCAGGCGATTCTGTGCAATTGCCTACTTCTTTGGAGTACAAGGAAGGCTAGGAGACTTAATTCCTCATCAACATGCCCCTTCTCGTCCAAATAAAACACATACAAGTTTGTGACTTACAAACATGTTTAGAAATTTTTTTCATCTACTTTTATACCTCTAAAATTCGCATTTTCATCAAACTGATACATGCTCATAATGAAAACTAATCAACTCCTCTGTTGTTGCAACAGCAGTTTCTAGCTTCACCTACTCCCAGCTCCCAGAATCAGCCACTTTCAACTTTCCTAGTTCCTTCTGCAGGCATTTACATAACCATGCACACACAGCCATTTTGGGATTTCTCATATTTAGATAGTACTACCAATTTCCTGTTCTGGTGCTTGAGACGTCAGCATAATATTTAGTATAAATACTACTTTCTTTCTGGATGCTCTTAGGATCTTCTCTTTACTCATGATGTTCTAGAAGTTTATAATGGAGTGTTGTGGGATATATGTGCATGTATGAGAGAGACATTAGATATAGGTTCATTGTGCTTAGCATTTTTTTCTCAAATTTTATTAATTTGGCATTTCATTAATGATGTGATTTTGGGAATACAACTTCACACTCCTATCAGTGCATATGCTTCACTCTACACAAAACTTTAGTGGTAATGACCGATCACTTACGGACCCCTGTGGCTTGGAGTCTCTGTCCTTTGGTTCTGAGATTTTTCCATTAAATTTTTTATAATTTCCTCCTTTATTTTCATTTTCCTCTTGTGAGAACTCCTGGTATCAAAATTTTGGCTCTCCCAAGATTTGAATGTTTTCTTTGCATTTTCCCCTCATCATTTCTGATGTACATACTAAGGGATTTCCTCAGCTTTGTATTACACCCCTTTCACTGCATCTGTTCACTACTATTGTGTTTTTTATTCCAAGACCAGTCTGAGTGTTCCTTTTTTATAGTCTTCTATTCCTTATTCATGGAAATAATCCATCCTTTTATAGCATATTTCCTCTGCTATGATTCTCTCATTCCTTTTTTAATGTTGCTTTTTTTTGGGCTTCCTTCCTTAGTGGAAGCATTTAGGGGGTGGGTCTTGTTGATTGGTGGATTTCACTACGTGAGTCCTCTCATAGCCTTCAGTTTAATTAGGGTTTTCCCAGAAACAAGGATCTGAAGATCTCTCTGGGAACACACAGAGAATCTCAGTGGTTCCTGCTGGAGTAAGACAGAGGGTGGGGTGTGGGGGAGGGGAAAGGAGGAGATTTAATACCACCATGCTAGTGACGTGATGGCATCAGAAAAGGGTAGTAACAGACTTATTCCTAACAAAATTTGATAATAGGACTTTCTGTGGTGACTTCCGGAAATTTTCCTGTAAGTTCTAATGCCATCATCCAGGATAAATGAAACTTTGGCCACAGGGATTCAGTTAGATAAGAAGAGTTTCAGGAATGCTTTTCTGAGGAAGCAACATTTGAATTGAGAGTTTTCAAAGGAACCAGAAGGTATAAATGCTTTGCATTTCTGGAAGCAATCGTAGCATGCTCAGAGGACAAGAAGGCTAGTATACCTGGACCATAGTAAACATAGAGAGTTTTCAGATAAGATCAGAGAGGGCAGCAGGGCCCAAGTTACCTTGGGTGTTTTAAGCCCACATAAGGCTTTCTGCTAGTATGCTAATTGAATAGGGAAGAAATTGGGAGTTGCAAGCAAGGAAATAATTCATCTGATACATGTTTTACAAAGGTTATTCTGGTGGGGTATGGTCTGCAGTGAGGTGAGTGTAGAAGCAGCAAGACCAGATAAAAGACTATTACTGTAATCCAAATGAGGGATAATGGTGGCTTGAAACGAGTGGGTAGTGGATGAGATAACCAAACCAAACTTCTGATCTTTTCTTTGAACTGGCAGCCCCTGCAATCTTCTTTTTTTTTTTTTTTTTAATCTCAGGGAACCTCCTATATCCTGTTCATGATACATATCTATCAGAATGATTTTTAGAAAAATGTAACTTAGATCCTGTGTCTGTTCATTAGAATGTGCTCCAGTGATTCTTGCTTTTTTCCTTAGTGTGCAAGTCAAAGACTTCATTCTCTGGCTTCAGCTGGTAGTCATAGTGTTGGGGAATCCTTTACTTTGAGGCTGCACGTCAAAAGAAAGTCTCTTACAAAACACTTTTAATTGATTGTGTATTAGTTCTTCTCTTAGAACACACATAAGCAAATGACATAATGGTCCTTCATTTTGGCTACAAATATTTCCATAAAAAGAACATGTTCTTTCAAGGAGTTTAAATGATCAGTGAGCCAGAATTCAAGAACTAAGCTGTAGTAAGGGACAGCAGATTAGAGTTGCCTGCCAGGACTGGTCGCCAGAGGAAATGTACACAAATGAATTACTGAATTCCCTTTCCCTTTTCTGATCGCTGTTTATTCCACTTTGTTTAGATTAATGAATCTATGTGACTTCATTTTTGTAACATTTAATTTATTGCTGCTAAGTTTTATTAGCTTACAAATATGAGCTATTATTTTCTAAGGGAAAGAGAAAAGACTCTTAACTGACTGTGAGTATTGTGGTTTTCCTACATTTCTTGTCGCTGAGTTTTCCTATAATTAATTATTCTCACTTGCTAGTTGGAAGGTCATGTTGAGTTGGAGATTCCAAGAGGAAGGCAGGGGCCGAGTGCAAGATCCTTGGGACAACACCTCTGTCTTTCCCTTAAAAAAGAAAAAAATGGTATTCCATAATCAGGAGGCATAGCTTGCATAGCTGATCGTTAAACGATACGGGTTTCAGTTGTGCTGTTTCAGATTTTCTTGTAAACACACAACACTATGTTAATGCATAGTATTGATAAATGCAATAGAGCATTATAACTGTATTTTCTCTTTATGATTTTTAGAATTTTCTCTAGTTTATTGTAAGAATGTAGTTTGTGATACACATACTACATGAAATATGTAGTATCAACTGTTGGTTATTGGTAATTCCCCTAGTCAACAGCATGGTATATTTGGTAGTTAACTTTTTGGGGAGTCAAATGTAAAATGCAGATTTTCAACTGTGTAGGTTTCAAAGCCCCTATACCCTGCATTGTTGAAAGGCCAATTATATTTAGTATTAAAAGTTGTCAGAATATGCTCGAATTCCCCATAGGTGGCATTTAGTTATTATATTAAAAAGTATTTTTTTTGTGTTTAGGTAAATGTAGCATTTGTGTGGAAATTACTGGTTCTTAAACACCAAAACTCTATTATGATTAAGAATGAATTTCTGCCAGTGTTTATAGCTAGGAATAGCGGTCAAGTAGATTTGCTATTGTTGACCTGTAGTTTTAAGGTATAGGATTATCTTTTTTCTTTTTGATGTTGTTTTCAAAGTGAAAATGGCTTTATTTTTTTTTCTGATTATGACTTTAAAATGATTTAGATGTACAGACTAGTTTAAAGAAAAAGCAAGTCATAGTTTGTCCTCAGAAGCACTTGTTCCTAATGCTTCAGTATAATATTCATATTTTTATGCCTCCTTAAATGAATATAACCTAAACTGAGATCATGAATCTTTATATTTTATAACCTCCTTTCCACTTGTGAATATATATGTATGATGTACTATTGATATGCTATATGGATCTAAATAATCTCCCCCTTTTAAAGAAGATTTATTTATACATACAAGAGCTGGGGTGTAGTCCAGAGTGAAGGGGGTAAAAAGATTCACCAGAGACAGAGGAGAGAGAAGAACAGGCAGAGCAACTGAAATACACTCTGCTGAGGAGAGCAGCAGGCAAGACAGGAGAGGTCTGCTTCACCATGTGGGTCAGCTCCCTGGCCAGGGATTGAACTTGTATTGCAGTGACTCCTGCAGATAGCTTCACAGTGCTGCATCTTAATCCCTTGTACCACCAGGAAGGCCCCTAAATACTTTCTTTTAATAGCTACATAAGAAATGATAAGGTTGACTTTTCTAGTAAGCAAAATGAAATCCAGCCTTGCCTTAAATATTCAGACGGCATGCAATTTAAGAAATGTAAGGACATTTTATTTTACCAAACATAGAGATACATCTATAGTAAATAAAAAGGCCTCAAATATTCTTAACAAAATACAGCGTTGGTCTTCATTACTGAATAAACGAATTGGTTTCTGTGGTAACAGCAGTAAATATTTATTGGGCACCTAGAAAATGCCAACTTTGATCTAGATGCAGGTACTTTGGTGAATTTGATGTGTGTGATCTCTTCTCTCCAAGAGTTTATATTTTGGAGGGAGAGAAACGAACAATAAACATACCTAGCTGGGGTGGTGGGGAAACACCATGATCACAAGGTGGTTTTCCTACGGCGAGCATCCCCACTGCACTGTGGCTGTGCTGACCCCTGCAATTTCCCCAAATGTGGGAAACGCAGCTGCATAATGCATGATAGAGGGCCACTGTGTTTGCACTCTCCTCTGAAGAGAAAAGGGGAAAAAAAAAAGAGTGAACAAGTAAGAAAAAAATATCATAGCAAGGCATACCCACTACTTTGCTTTTACGGCAGCATTTAAAAACTGACATTTTGGTCCTAAACTGAGCAGATCGAGTCAAATCATATATTATAATTATGTTTTCAGGTTTGAAGACAGTGAAGAACAGATAAATTATGAGTCATTTTTCTCTGCCCTAAACTGGAGAAAAAATCCGATGCCCGAATTGGAACCAGTATCTCCTGTGAAAGAGGTAAAATGAACACATTTTAAAATCCAACTGTGGCTACCTCCTTTGCATTTTAAATATCCTTCATCTTAAAATTACTTTTCAGTGTAAAAATTCACATTTGTGCTTTTGGAAAGAGCGCTTATGTGTTTCTGTGTATTTGTGTAAAAGGCTAATTCGCTTTCCATAATAAGCAAACATCTGTTTTGTTAGAGCATGACTTTTCTTGTGCAGCTGAATTTTTTCATAACCTCAGTCGCATCCAATTATATGGAAAATAGGATAATAGATTACAGTTATAAATAGCTGTAAACACTGCTATCAAGGGATTCTGGTAACATCATCATCGTGAGCCACGAGAGCGAATCTCAAATGCTACATATGTCAAGAACCCCCCGTGTATCTGTGACTGTGCACACAGGTTTGCCTTGGGTGAGACAATCTACAGGGATCAGGATGCACATTTTGCAGTTGAACCAATTTTAAAGTGAAAATTCAGTAGGAAAATGCTTGGTTAGGGAAAGCAAAGTTCATGTGCTCAAATGGTGCGCTCAACATTGTGGAATTATCTGAATTCCTAAGATCTGTTTGGACCAATTGTCTTTAAGGAGTGGGTGGATAGGTGGGTGGTATTTTGTTTATATTTGAACATGCCGCAGAAATTGATTTTCTTGGGAAAGTCCCTTGATAAAGCAAATGTCATAGAGTTGATACTCCCAAAAAGGAGGCATTTATTCTCCCAGTCTCTGCTGACCAGCTCTTTCTGGCCTAGCCTGATCTGGTGCCCCTAGGGAGTTCCCTCAGGCATGCAGCTGTTCTGGAATGGCAGGCAGCCTTAGAACTTCCAAATGTTCCGGAGACAGTGACGGCCTTTGGAGTCACACAGATCTGGCGTTAACTTCTGACTGTGCTTCTTATGTAGCTGAGTGACTTTGAGCCAGTTACTTAACTCATTCACTTATACATTTAATTTTCATACACATCATGATCGAGTATCCATTCTCATTAGGTTCTGTCCTATGTGCTGGAGTCCAGAGACAAAGATCATTAGGTCATTGTGTTGAGCCCACTGCTGGTGGGTGAATCAATCACTTGTGATTTGGAATATGGAGTGATGCAGCCGGCCTGAGGTGCTATGGTTTGAGGAGAAGCTGCTTAAAAAGCAAACCTGGAAGGAGAGGGAGACAGGAGATATTTCCAGGGGAAGTGATTCTTGAAACTTCGTAAGTGAACAGTAGGAGTTAGCAAGGTATGAAAGTGATGCGGTGTGGAAAAACAGTCCCCACAGAGCCCGGGACATGGGGCCATATGGTGCCTGTGTGCAGACCCAGAAGGAACTGGTATGGCGAGAAAGAGTGCAAAGGGAGGAGTGGCGAAGGGGAGGCTGGAGATACTGCAAGGGTATTATCCTGAAAAGCCTGGAGATCACAGGCAAATATCAAGGAAGAGTGTGCCCTTTAAAAAGAATTTGCTCTAGTTGGCAGATAGGTAGATTGGAAAAGGTACAGGCAGGCCCATTAGGAAGCTCTTAACATTCTATCATCACCACAAGAACAGCAAAAACTTAAAGTGTTGCTATACTTTTACTATTTTCTAGTTCTTTCTCCTTTTCCATCCACCTAAGCCACAACCCAAATGTTTACATGTATGATGGGGATGTCAGGAGCACGAAGGAAACCATCTCGCACCCCTCTGGGTGCCTCAAGACTGGCAAATAATGTAACAAGCATCAGAAAGATTGATAAGAGCAAAAGCTATGTGGGAATTTAATAGCATGTATGTAAGTGCGGGGTACCCAGGGACCCCCAAGTTGTTATGGGAAAAACTCCTTTGTATGCTCTAAAGGGTAAAAGGGTCTGGACAGCTCTGTGCACAAAGGCAAAGAAAACAGACTGTTAGTGTGCTCAGTGATATCTTTAATTTGTGAAAGGAAAGAGGGAGGGAGAGAGAGAGAGAAGAGATAATTCCACATAAAAACATTATTCACCCCCGTGCAGGTAAATACCAAGCCAAACAGCCTCGGCCTAAAGCAAGGCTCTAAGGCCTGAAAGCTTGCCACAAGTCTAACGTAGTGTCCAGTAGGAACCATGGGAAGCTGGATAGGCAGGTTCCAGAGAACTGGAGCAGAGAGATAGAGATGTGAAATCCAAAACGCACCACGTAACCCACCATGAGGTCAAGTCAATGACTGCCATTGTCTCTGCCAGAATTTCAAATGTCTCTACCCTGTGTGTCTCCTCAGGTATCTCTCCTCTTTCTTCCACATCCAATATCTACTTACCTCACTCCTTCCCACCTACCTCTCCACCCCAACCTTGGAGTCAAGTTAATGACCCACTGGGAATTGTAGCCTCAGTCACATGCAGCTGCACGTGAGTGGGACCGAGGACATGGTGCTGACTCCATGTGCCGTCCTGTTTCTCCCTCTGTTGAGTTGCATTCTGGGACACAGATATGCCTCTCTTCATGAGGGAGACCCAGCATGAATAAGTCACCCACGTGGCTTTCGAAGTCATCTTATATAGCTTATAGGGCATATTTGAGGGAAAACAAAAGTATTTCTGCCTTCTTTGAAAAGAGATAGGGGATTAGATTCTCTTAGAATAGAAGTTTTGCTATAAACATCTAAATCAGCCTCCAACCAGTCTTAAGAGCCCTTCCTTAAAATCAAGCATTTGTCAAAAAAGACGTACTTTGGGGTGGCAAGTTTTTGCTCCCCTACAGTGATTTCATCATTTATTGTACAAAATGTAATCATAGCACATGCATTTCTTCACAGTCTGTTTTTAGTTAAGTACATCTTTGGTTATGTCTCATTTAGTATGTATAGACCTAAGATATTCTTTAACAGTGCATTTTTGTTATTTTTTACATTTTTTGCCTAAAAATATGGTATCCTATAATTTTAATGTTTATTTTCCTGATGGCTATTGAGTTTGAGTTAAATTGAATCACCTTCAGCCCAAGTAAGACATTTTTTCCCTAGCAAACCAATATGTACATTTGCAATGGAACAAGTTTCCTGAAACAATACTATACTGGTTAGATGTGGCACATTATGATCTTTTTTTTTCTTTCTCTTTTCCTTCTTTTTCCTTTCTTGTCTTTCTTTCCCCTTCTTTGCTCCCGTTGAATGTAGTTTGTGGGCCATTAAATTGATTTAAGGATCCACTCCCCCTTTCGCCATTCTTCTGCCATTTCATCTCTTGCCAACTCTGTCAGCTGGGGAAGATACTGAGCATGGACTCAGCATTTCAGAGACTGTAGAGACAATGGAAAGCAGAAGTGTTACCCTCACATGAAGCTGCCTTGGACTACAAGTCCCAGTGTTCATGCGGACTTCCTGAGCAGGAGCGTTAACTACGAACTAGGGATAGAACCGAGAGGGAACTATATAACATGGAAAGTAGGTGGGCTAAGGGAGAAAAAAGGGGCTCTCTTGCTTCTCTGGTTTTGATTTGCACCATTTCAGTTGAGGGGGACTTGGAGGAGATGTGTGGAGGAGAGAGATTTAGAGTCACTTAAAAGATAAATGTGGGTGAGAGTCACGTGGAGAGACTGCCCTTGGCAGAAACAATGGCAGCCGTTATGCTCTTTTATATTTTGCATCTCTTTTACTGTCTCAGACTTACCTGGCCCTCTTGCCCCTTCCTTAGTTCCCTGCCAGAAGGTCCCTTAGACTTATAGATGTCTGGGCCTCCACATTCCTGCTTTGGGCCAACCCTGTTTGTCTGGGTGATTTCACTGGAAAATTAACATCCTTTCTCTTCTCTCTCCTTGCACACTAATTCTATTAAAATTTTTTCCCATTAAGAGTCCCTTTGTCTTTATGTGGCAGATAGCAGGACCATATTTTAGAGTGTGTACCCCTCAAGAGTTTGGGAGTCCCCAGGTAACCGTTGGTCACTTGCAAACAGGTTATATAGAAATTAAATGAATTTGTTCCAATTCTTAACCTTATCATTAACTAAGGGTGTGACTTTGTGCAAATTTCTCAACCTTCTAATTTGCCCCCTCTCAAATATAAAGATAAGAATAGTACTTCCTCTAGGCTGGCTCTGAGGATTCTGTGAGTTGATATATAGGAGACATTCACAGCAACTACTCTACAGTAAAGACTTAACTGTTAGCTTCTACTATTGTTTATAAAATGGAAACGTCCTTATTCCTCAGGTCAGCAGACTGGGACCCAAGCAATCCCTTCCAAGGCTATTATCAGGGATTCTGTACTTAGACGTAAGAGTGAAAATAATTCCAGAACAGGGATGTAGTCAAAGGTTCATTTAAGGTAATGAGTAAAATTGAGAATTTTACTTGTAGGGTTTCCTAGCAATTTTACTGGCCAAGACTAGAAGCGTTTTATTACAGGACAACTCCGAAGGGAGACAGGGTGACCTGGGTGTGAGTCCCCACCCACACACTTAAGAACTCAGGATTAGACCTAAAAGCAGGCACACAGAAAAGTTCATAAAAGGCTTATTTATAAGGGAAATGAAAAAAGGGAGAACACAGAGAAAGATTAGCTGGTCAATATGTCCTATGAGTAAGCTGTCTGAGCTGACGCTAAAAGCAGGAAAAAACAAGAAAGCACAAGCCCATATGTTAGGTTGTATATCAAGCATGGCTGCTTAACTTGGGGAGGGTTCCCAGCAACCCTCCCTTCAAGGAAGGGGAAGAATCATGGTAGATTCATGGCATGATGGGAGTTGTAATCCTCAGCAGATCTCTTTGGCATGGGTGTAGGAGTGGAGTCCAGAAAACATCAGTAGGTGGAGTTCATTCAGGACATAGTGTACCTCCAACAATTTCAGTTTGCTGGAGACATTTGGAAGGCCCATTTCCTTGAAGCCACTTGAAAGAATAGGTATAAAATGGTACCCTGATTGATTTAACCAATAATGAGAACTTACTTAGATCCTGTTGTCTGTAGCATTCTTGTACTTTGAAGTTTTCTGTAATTTCATAAAGAGAATATAAGGTCATTTGTGAATGTTACCAGTACACCTGTAATAGCATGTGAAAAT